AATAGGTAGATTAGGCTTCATATATTTACAGCACTGTTTCAGAAGTTTCCGAACCGCTAAAACTGGAATCATAGGCCCAACACAATATTCACCACTGGCCTACCACAGCCAATCAGAGCACCACTAGCTTACCCACAGCCAATCAGCTTCTGGCTGACGGGCTGCTGCTAGCCGCATGTGTCTTTGACACTACAACCATAATAAACGAAGACAGAGGCGTTGTTTTTCTACACGTAGCTTATTCACTTGGTCTTCATCATGAAGTCACTGGATTTGTTGCGATCATTGCTTGAATTAAAAAAGTAGACAGTAGGCTAGACTTTTCACAAGACTTGCTACAGAATCTAGGCTCTAGATATCTAGATTCTAGTTCTAGAAATCTAGAATCTAATCCAATTCCGAAGTTTCTGATCTTCATGATACTAGACTCTAGAATCTAGCCTAGATCTAGATCTAGATTCTAATTCATACTCACTCAGAGTTCTTCTGAACTCAGAACTGAGTTCAGTGAGAGTGCCTTTTTGTTGTTGACTAAAACAAGGTGAGATCTAGGCTAGACTAGAAATCTAGACTTCTCATTCCAGTCGTCTAGATCTAGAAGTAGAAGTCAAGAGACCAACCAAGGCCCACATCCTGTTGTAAATTACAACCATCAATGAGGTCTCTGGTCTAGATTCTAGACCTCTTTTAAATATGTTATACTTATAATTATACTTTTGGAAGTGACTGAGTTAAATAGTTAATTCTCAACGAAGGTCCTAGCTACAGGCTACAGCACTACTACAGTCACTACAGAGCAGCTACGGCTACACTAGGCTATACATTTAGCGAGAGTCTGTCAATCACATGCAACTGAGATCTTTAAAATTGGCAGTGTGACGATCCCAAAGACATGAGCTGGTAAGTTGTCGGCGATTGTTAAGATTCCCGCGTTTAATTCCGATTTGCGTTAGAGTTAGGGTCAGGATTAAGGTTAGGGTTAGGCCTAGTTCTAGATCTAGGGACCAAAGTGAAGCATGCCTGAGGCTATGAAAATCGCAGATCGGAATTAAACGCGGGAATCTTAACAATCGACTAGTCGTCTTGATTAATGTCGGCTGTTTCATAATGAATCATCATCCATGTCATGAATATTCCTAGGTCTAGATCGATCCTCAGCAATCATGGTTTACCACTAATTTAACTCGGATGCTCTCAAAAATAATTTTCATTTTAGGGTCCTTCCCCCTGTCATCTGCTGTACAATTTTGGTGTCTACGTAAGCTTATTAAATCATGTCATTTCCAAACATATAGACTACATCTAGAGTCTAGATATCTAGATCTCTCAGAATTTTAAATTAATTTTGTGTCTAACTCAGAGTTATTAACAGATTAAATTATTTCATTTGTGTTATAATTAAATAATAACTTGTTCACTTTGGCCTGCCCGCATTAAAGAAATTCTAGTTCATTTAGGTTATATATATCATATATTTATAAAAAACCTCTGTGCCCATGAAACTTTGCATGGCGCTTCTGCAGGCCAGCGGCCAAACAAACATTTTAAAAAAAGATGTTGATCCAGTAATATAAATTTATTACAAAATTTTTCTCTTTGAACCCTTCATAAAAACCGCTCTTTGTATGCATCACATGATCACTAAAATAAACAGTAACCTTGCATTGTGGTCATCTTGAGACAGCGACACTACGCTGCCCCCACGTTTCATTGTAGATTTTATTCCTCGGCTGTCTAGATGTCTCTATGAGCACCACATGAGTCTGAGTATTGAAACTTATATTGTCTCTTGAATCTTGTTTCTTAGGCTTTCGTTGGAGTGTTGTTTTTCAAGGAAAATTATATTTCAACTTTTAAAAGATGTTTTAGGTGCAGTAAATCCCTGAAAATATTTTTTTACTTGCTTTAAGCTTTTTAGCTTTTACAACAAAGAAAATGTGTTGGAACCTTAATTTGCAGTGACCTAGGGCTTTTAGCTTGGTTGGTCATCCAACTGTTACACCTATATTTAGTATACAAAGATTAAAACTCTTTCCAGGCGTACTTTTTTGGGGGTCTAGACATTTTAATTAACTCGTGGTTCGATTTGGCTGTGCAGGTGGTGTAGTACAAAATAACTTCATACAAGCTTAATCATCACTCAAAGCGTAACATATGATATATCAAATTGAAGGACGGCCACTCATTGTCAAGGAGAAAAGTGGCCCTATAAGACAGGTGGCCGTCTTAGGCAGGACTGATCAAAATGAAGAAAATAAACCATTCCTTTCTGAGGTCCCAACCGAAGGTGTCCGATTGTTGTTGTAGTTATTGTTGTTGTTTTCGCTGGGATTTTTTTTCTTTTGTTGCTGCTTTTGTGCAAGGGTAACAATAAAAAGGAATACAAGTAGGACCGAGTGCTATGGTAAAACAAACACATGGGTCGCCACCACTTCTGTCACAAGTTCATGTTGACGTCTATTGTTGCTTTTACCCCCAGTGGGTCGGGGGGATATAAAAATAGACCCACTGCTTCGTCTGCAGAAGGTGCAACCCCCTCAAAGGCGAAGTGTCGCACACGGACCCCAACCCTCTAGGATCCGTGTGCGACACTCACATTGGTGTATCTTCCTCTTCTCCTTCTTTCTTTCTTCTTCTATCTTTCCTACCACCGCTGACCTCAAGTGCAGTAAAAAGAGAGGTCACCCATCCCACAGAGTGGGCGCCTCGTTGACCGTGAGGTGCAACCCGTGCGGAGGGAAACTGGGTACCTGGCGGTTGAGGTGAGATCAGTCCACG